ATCAACTTCGACAATTATACGCCACTCACGAAACTGAATACCAGATAAAATTAGGAAAAATAATGATGAGTTTATAAATTTATGACTGTCACAGCTATGGTGACACACAGAGTTCTGCTGGCTTCGGATGAACTAAGATATCCTGTTCTGTTTGTAGTATTCACTATGCAGGGACTTTTGGCAGTTTTCTAGGTCAGTACCAGAAAGATACTATAATGAGATTCCTAAATGTTCGCCTTAATGTCTGTTTGATCCAGGTGGTCTAATATCGAAGTGCTGATAGCTTTACCAGACCTTTGTTTAGTCACACCGGTGGGTGTACAGGGGAACGGAGTATTATGTTCCTAATACAACGGCTTCTTAAGGAATAGTTGTTTTTATAGATGCCATACAAGGTGATCAGTCTGGGAACCAACTTCACCTGTTGGTTTCTGATTTGCTCGGTACATCACCTTTGAATTGCAGTCAGAAATACAAATACAGGCTTCTTGTTAGCAGATATGTTTGAATTCTCATTAACTATCACTTTCTCTTACCCATGTACTTTCTGATGAATTTTTCAGAGTGGCTGATTTCAATTAACGTTTCATCTTTTACTTAAAGTTCGTCTTTAGTTACAACTTCTGAAGAAATAGCCCTACCTACATGAAAATAAAACAGGTTAAGGATTTGATCATGAACTGACATCAGTTTGAGAACCATTGGAAAACCTGGGAGTACTGGACTACTGTTTCTTCGACCAGGTTTGGGACTCTTCAACAGCACGCAACCACTGAAGTTCGAACCCAAGACCTTTCGGTTATAAGGCTAGCTTGTTGATCATCAAGCCCCTGAAACCCAACCACTTGGTCCTTGGTTCGCTGCCCAGTGGTTGCGTACTCCCGAAGGATTTCAAAACAGAACAAAACAGCTGTCTAGTACTCCCAGATTTTTCGACGGATCTCAAACCGATGTCAGTTCTTGATGAAATCCCTGCAAAGTGACACTTGAAAAACAGGTTAAATTATTATTAACATTCATTGTAGTATAACAGTAAACGTTCTGTCTTTCTGACCTCAAAGGAACAAAATTTAATCAAGGGAAAAAAAGTATAAATAAACATTGCGTGACAGTAGAAAATAAGTTTTCTTATGTTTGTTTTGCATTTTGGTACACACACACACACATTTAAACATTTCAAAATAGTAAATAAACTGTAAATTATTATCACTGAACGCTTTGGATTGTCGTTAGTTTCACTTAGAATAACTCTGCTTTGACCTGAAAAGATTAAAACATGACATAGTCATGTTAAGGAATTCTAAAAATTATGTTTATACATATATATATATGGAGGTTTTGTTTTTATCTTTCGAAAATACATGTGCATGTGTGACTGACACGATTTCTTGCTACTTCTGGGTTTTTTTGATGGCTGTACAGCGGCTACTCTTATTCTCAACAGCTGTCAAGTAACACTTCTTGGCTCACCAATATGCATTAATTGTGCAGCGTCAACCGGATGTAGTTGCTGAGAAACATGGTGTACAACACTCTCGGTGAACTAGGAAGTCAATAAGCGAACCTCTGATTCTCTATTCAACGTTATGAACAACTCTAACGAGTCTCCATCTGATCACAGTTTCACAACATGATCTTCTGCATTGCCAGCTGACTGCGTGTCGGGCTTTCGAACTCTGCCACCATTCTCTCAAATAGGTCTTTTTATCACCTAACCGGTACACAGTGTCGTACTCCACCTTCATCCGATCTCTCAGCAGTGTTCCAAGTGGAAGTGCCTTCTACATCGGACGCTTGACGTCCACCAGCATCGAAATATTGCAAGGAGTACTTTATTCCTTCCACAGCGAAAACAACAGGCTATGGGATCTTGATTTTCTGGAGGTGGCGACATCGAATTTAACGGAAGAGGACGAGAGACTCGGCAACACATGACTTATTGTTGATTTCATGCACACACATATGGGGAAACGATGTATACTTTTTATGGGAATCGTCATTCACACAGATCCTCCAGACCTTGTACTGTTTCTGCTGTTCATATTGTGTTTCCTTTTCTTCTCTTCTTGTCTCTCTTGCTTTGTTGGGATAGCTGTTCATACACTCTTTTTGACTTCAAATCTATATCTCTGTTGTTTAATATTTTGTATCAATGAGTGTTTCTTAACACTGGTGAATCTTGTGAGTAGCACACGCTACATTATCCCATGCATAGAATGACGCCTCATTTTTGGCTCCAGTTTGAATACCGCTAGAAAAACTATGGAAAGTCAGTAGACCGTACTGCGAATTTCAATCCATCTTGTTTAGGACTCTACATCAGTACACAGCCAAAAACGTATTCATAATGGGTTCAGATCCACAACTTTCATATTACTAGCATAGAACTTATGCCATTCAGCCAATGCAACCGGAACTCGTTGGCACACCCTAGAATTCTAACTTCTTTCAACTGACAGTTGAAGCGAGAACACCAGAGAATGTTATCTTCGAGTTGACAGGAGTAAGGGTAGGTGGTTCATTGAACTTAGTCACATAATCTAAATTCCCAGAGAGCTGCTTTTCGAAATTAAATGCCTTGACTTCCATTCAAAATAAGGTCATAGGTGCGTGCCACTGAAGATTCTCAGAACTGAACGAGATAGATGTCCAGTACTCCATTCTGATCTCCATTGGTTCTGCAGCTAACATCTGTCTGTTGAAACTATAGCGATATTTATTACTGAATTCATGAAACAATTTGAAAAAAAAGGATTACATGGCTTAGTTATCAAACCGAATAGAGAAAAATCGGTTTATGTATTTTTTCACAAATGATAAACAACTTGAGTGTTTTGACTAACTTTAAACAGCTTTTTATTTACAAATAATCTTTCCTCTCATTATCGAAAATGACGTCAGTGATCGGCTATTTTTAATCCCGCACCGAACAGTATTTAGAAAGTAAATTTCGGAATTTTTCATGAAGTACACTTCTACTCCCAAGAGACTTCCCTTCTTTTATTATTTATTTTATTTAAAATTTGTCTTTTCTACAAAGACAAAGTTTTATACTCATAAAGGTAGCTGATTTCTCTTTCTTGAAGTCATTTCGGGATTTCCAGTTTCACCTGAAATCTCTGATCACAATATTTGATCGCTTCTTTACTTCTAGCTCTTGCTAGCAACATCGAAGTTATTCATAATGACTACACAGAGTTATGAATTTGCGTTTGTTTTATCGATTGTATCTATGGTCTCTATTAGACCACCTTTGTGATCCAGATAGTTTCGGCACGCAAAGGAAACTGTGGCGAACTTTTCCCACAAGCTCAACAAATGTCAAATCCGTAACTGGTTCGAAAAGCCGCGAATTAAAAAAAATTTTTTATCAATGATTATAGCTTGAAACCACACAGTATTTTTGGTACAATTATGGAATTTTCAGAATTTGATATCGGTAGCCAAAAGTTTGCAGGCTGACCATAGATATCAGATGTGCGTCGGCAGATGGTTAAACCCTCGGCGAGAGTCCTAACCGCTGTGACATCGACGTGCAGAAACCTCTTGTGAGCGCCCGGGAGGAGCAGGTTGCCAGTTCGCTAAACATAAATCAATTTTTTCAAGCGATTTAGTTCTCCTCTGTGAGCCGAACTGAGTGCGCTTACAATTAGCTTCATCCAAAAAGAGCTAGAATGCCATCCGCTGTTTTGATTACCCCAGTCTATTTGGCTTGCAAGCCACACTGGTTAATGTTAGTGTCAATAACTTTTGATTGATGTGAGTTGATAAGAGTTGATTATCTAAATGCTCTAGGTTTTGGTGTGGTTGCGTTCTCTGAGCTGGATGGTTTGGTTGAGAAGCTTTCATTGCTCTACTGAGCAACATCTTTAGCGCATACTTCGATGTAAAGTGAGCTTTTAGAATTCTCTATGAGTTTATTAGTCATCTCTTCTAGTAACCTTGAACGTGATTGGTTTTTTTCGTGTGACATTTCACCCCCTAGTTTGCTTGTCTAGGTGCTGGCTGCTTCTTTGGTCTGAATATCGTTAGAAGAGATGACTAATAAACTCATAGAGAATTCTAAAAGCTCACTTCACATCGAAGTATGCGCTAAAGATGTTGCTCAGTAGAGCAATGAAAGCTTCGCAACCAAACCATCTAGCTCAGAGAACACAACCACACCAAAATCATCCACCTGAGCTACAAATCTTCTCTATTATATCTAAATGCTCTAGGTTCAAGTTTCGTTCTTCTAGGTATTTTTCAACAAAGTTTATCTACAGCATCGAAAAAAGTGATGCATCAATTGCAATGTTGCAATCAGAAGTTAATCACAAGTGCGTTATCAATTGAGCATAATAACTTCCTTCCACAACACCAGCAAATCAGATTTTATTGTCTTACCTACTGTATTACTTTGCGTTCCTAGCATAAAATAGGTCTTCAGACTTTAGCGTTGAAGTTCAAGCATCGATGGTGTTTTTTACACGGCGGGTTCGTCAGCCTCATGCCTCACCTTTCCTCTTTGTTGGTCTTATAGCGGGCCAGGGTCAGGTAAAGGTTTGTAGCGGTCAGGAGTCGAACTGTGGACGACATGTATAGTTAGTGAGCATTCCGCTGCAAAACCTCCAAAGCAAACTGCAAAAGCAGACAGTGCTGTAACCCAAGTGAATAACTTCCATGTTGTATTTGGTCGTGTCTCCATTCTTTAAGTACTGAGTCGTATTTTGCTAGAATGGTTGAACCGGGAGCTTAATCGGTCCGATAATCAGTTTAAATGTCCAACACCACACGAAACGCTTCGAAAAGTTGCACATTACATACAAAACTAGAGGAGTACGCAGGCACACACACACAACAAGACAACTACCATAGGTTGAATTTGTTTCCATATTTACAGCTTTTTATGCAAATCAACAAACTAACATGTGGCTTTTATCGTTGAATTATTAAGAATATGTGATTTGACTTTTTTTCAATCTTGAATTTCTTTTGTTTTCTAAAATTCTTTGTTTTAGTATATTCGAACAACACTCTGATTTTCGTGATGCATTCACTGAATTTCGAAAGAATAAATTCGTTGACATTAAACATGATCCAGCAATGCAAGTTCATGGTCTACGTGTTTTAAGCATAATGGATAAATTGGTTACTCGACTGCCTAAGACGGATGATATTGAAAAACAGTTAATGACAATTGGAACTAAACACTGTCGATATGTTCCAACCATTGGACTTGTATCGGTAGGTCTAATCATTATAACATTTTGTTCCTCTTTTGTGTTTTATTTGGTGTTATTCTATATAAGACAGTGTCACATGTTGGGTGATCTACGAAGGAAAGCTCATCTTAGCCTTTTGAAGAGAAGACTGGACTAAGAAAAGACTGTTTGCTTACTATCATCGATGATACTCCTAATTGTGGTGGACTGAATTATGAGCTTGACAGTGCGTGGAGAACGAGAAGACTGCAATACCTTAGAAGGATGAGAAGACCTTAATAATCTTGGTTTTCGCAAGTGATTTATCTCTGATGTCGAACAAATTGGATGCTTAAATCAGTAAACACAGAACTTCGAATAAACAACCACTGTCACCGGAAGAAATTTAAAATCGCCTCTTCCTTTTATCTAGGCGACATGGTGTGAATTACGGGTGTCACGGATGTGATTCACAAAGTCAGGTAGGATTGAGAAAGCAAAACAAATGCGTTCATTTTTCCGAAATCGGTGGGGAGGTCTACTGCAATCAGTATCAAGAACAAGATTGGAATTTTTAACACCGACATGAAGTCAGGCAGTGTTTTCATATGGTTCTGAGACTTGTTACATTATGGAAAGCATTTCTAACAGGGCTGCATATTCAAATTGACGTCAACCACTTCTTCTCATTGCTGAAAATTAGTTGGACGGAAGGCGTAAGCTAGAGGTGTATCTGTCCACGACTTAGCTGATACCCTTCTACCGAAATTATATGCGGAGGAAAATGGATGTCGATAAAAGATGCTTAGTTTAAACAAGAATTTTATCCAAATAGACAGGGTGACAGGAGAGGGCGATTATAAATATCGATCAAAAATAGTAAATTGTATCAGCTTAGACGTCAGAGGGAAGTGACAACTTTTACAACCACTTCGTCGAAGTTCTATATGAAATGAGGTTAAATCATTTAGTTGTAGGGCTTAAATAAGGCAAAAAATTACGTTTCTGATTATTTCAAAGTATTCATCTAATCATCCCTTTGACTTATACACCCCTTGACGTTGAATCTGGGGAACTCTTTCAGCTTACATACTGACATCTTATTTTATACACCGACCGTTTAATATGATCATTTCTAAATAATTTATTTCGTTATTCGTGGACAGTTCATTGTTAAATATCAGGCAATCACTAGGAAGGCCTGTCTATGATTCCCGGCGGACATACGTCAAAATCTCTAAAAAATGATTAGCCTATCTAAGATCAGGCGTCAACCTAGCAACCAAACTCTGTAAAAGCAATTTCAACACCTCCTAACTTTCAAATATTAAAGATTTCTATACACCTCTAAACTCAAGGGGTTTAAAATACATGAAATATTTTAAATAATTTCTAAACATATCTTGATTTGACACTAGTAACTAGTGTGATGCGTTTAGTCCTCTCTTTGGTGCAGACTGAATTCAATCAGTCAGGTTGTAATGTGGCCACCATTCTAGGTAGCTCGCCATCACAGTGTACATTGTTTGTGATGATATTAGATGGTTGGAGGCAATCGACAGGAAGCCTTGGACCTAGGTTACGTGCTAGTTGGCACTCGTCAGCAAAGCGTATCTGCAACCTTGAAGCAACTCATGTCCCTTCTGAGATTCGAACCAGCGTCACCCAGTGCTGCAGTCAGAGACGTTACCATCACAAATTTATAAATTATAATTTATTTTTATCTGGTTTTTCTCAATACTGATGCATAACACTTTCACTTTATTTCATTTCGACGTTTAGAGTGTTTCCGACCAGTTATGGGGTGCTATAGAACCAGTTCTAAAAGAAGAAGGCCTATGGTCAGATAATGTCGCTCAAACATGGATAACTGTATTAGACTATTTAACAAAAACTGTTCGATATGGTCTAGCCAAAACATTTCGATCTACCACATGGACATAAGTAATCATTCAGTAGAAAAAAATTATCAAATCATTTATTTCCAAGAGAAGTAAAAAATAAACAAACAGCTGACGGTTGAGACCTCCTCAAAGTGAAAAATGTTTACCATTCTGAAGAAATTGTTTGTGAATACTATCCAGAAACAACAGCTGGTGATTGAGATGTAGATTTTGGTATAGATAAGACCTATTTTTTACTAATCTTTAATGTATGTACATTATTGCATTTTATTGTGTGATCCAGCAATCTCTCTCGATAGATGCCTGCATTCCAAACTTCTTCAAGAATTCTTATTTTAATTAAACATACATTTATGTATGTAATGCTGTCAACGATTAACGAACAGCCTGCTTTGTCTTACTATCATTATTATTCACAACTGTAAAATAACTTCTTTTCACTTGCCAAATTCACTTGTCCTTATGTATATTTTGCCCTCACCTCTGCGAGGAATATACTCTTCACGTACAGTATACCATTCAAAGATTATTGGGATACGTATCATAACCAGTTTCTTCTCATGAAGACATTTGTTACTCTATGTAGAGTACTCTATGTATTTTTTCTTTCTTCTTGAATACTTGCCAAAAGAGACCATCATTTAACTGTTTTTTCTGTTTATATGTTTTCTTCTGCATGCACATTAAAATGTAATCACATCACAGATTTATGAAAGAGAAAAATAAAAAAAGTAATTGAAATCAGAAGAAAAATGTATCGATCGCTCACTTCTGACAGATTATAAGATGTGGTTGACTGAAGTTCGGATGAGAATTCGTGGTTGGCGACGACATATGCTAGCGGTCGCGACATTTTTATCATTTATAGGCTAGTCATTGCATTGAGGCTCATCGGATGGATTGTAAACGACTTTCTCTTGCAACCTGAACGTCATTCACTCTGTCACTTGCAGCTGGTGCTGTGGGTCTCAAACACGGATGAAACGCGTGTACAGTATTCCCTAGTGAAATTGAAGTCTTGAAGTCCACCCAATATTATGCGCAATGCAGTATATTGCATGAGCAGCTAACAATAAAATAACAAATATGCATGTTGTGAACATGATAAAGAATATCTATATGCATCATTAAGCCACAGCTTGAGTACAATCCAGTGATTAAATCAGAGGTGTTACACTACTAGGCCAATGAAATCAGGAGGTAATCGTTCACTAGCATACCCCGTTGGTATAGCCTCGTGTTAGATAAACAGCCAACTTTCAGAAAGAAAACATACGGACTAAGAGGCCCGTCATTCAAAGACACACAAAAAATAATCATACATACTTGTCGCTTTGGTGCATGAAACTTCAAGTGAGGCACTGAAACTTGTTCGTAAGTCCACGGAGTTGGTCTACGTGAGGTCTAGTTCAAAGCCGGGAAGTAAACTCATAAATGTCAAGTCAAATCGAAACGCCTAAACAATATAAAAGGGAATGAAGCATTACCCTCGCTGGGAGGAAGCATAAAGCATAAAACCACTGGGATGCGTTTACTATAACAGCGAAATAAAAACGAGGACAGCATCACAGCATGTGACAGGCTTAGTGTAGTCGTAGTAATAAAATAGTTCTCAAACAACATCCGTGGTTCGCGTTCAGTTCACAGCCAACGCCTTCATGAAATCCATACAGTTTAATATTCAGTAGTAAGCCTGGAAAGGAGAGAAGGTTAGGTGTGAGGCCATAAGTCCCACAGCATGAAAGAAGAAAATGCAGTTAGTGAAATTTCATACCTTTGGCTCTGAAAGCTAATGTTTCACTTAGGAGAAAAACGTCAGTGAACAGAGGGAGGTCAACACCGCTTTCATCGAAGGTAAACGACTAGACACTAGATCTCAGTAATTTTGGTGAAATTAAGTATATTTAGAAATTAGAAGTATGAATATGGAAATTAGTTAGGTCAAATAAATCTCTCGTGGATGTAGGATCAGTGAACAGTCTATAAAAAACATTTTATTTTTAAATACGAGAACGTCAAGGGAAATCAAACTATTTGGAGTACGAAAGAACAAAAGATAACCACATGGAGCATTTGATAGTGTTAACTTTAAGGTTGCGAAAAGGTTCATGAGGATTTCATACAGTTATGAAAATGAAATCAACAAGACTAACATTGACAATTTCGAACATCATCCAACGTCGTTTGAAAAAGAAATCGTCAAGTCAATCACAGGTTCCATACCAATACGCCCAGTGGATACGGAGTATAAGAAAAATAAAAGAATGTCAACCTTTAGAATTCTAAACAGGGTAGCACCTCAGATTACTAAATTCATACGTCTTCAACTACTGAGCATAACTAAGGCTACTTAGACAGAACATTTTATACCAAGTGTATGTGTTGAGATAAAGTTTGTTCAGTCCCACTTCAGTACCAACGTAGAATACTTATCTTTCCAGGCAACACTGAATGACTGTGCTTAGAAAGATCAAGAATGAAGCAGCATATGATTCAGAATACTTATTGATTTTCAAAAATTAATTTCCATTGTGAATTTCTCCAAAAAATAATGAAGACGTTATTTTTCTTATTCACGTAATAAATGCATTTGTGCACGCACTTGACATTGTCAAATAATTAAGTGTTAGGGGGTGTTACAACAAATATGGGTTGAATTAAAAGCCATATTATATCTGTCTCAGCACTAAATCAAAGTTTACAAAGGGAGGCTTTTTGTGTTAAAGAACTATATTTGTGACAGTTGAAGCTTCCTGATCGCTGGGGCTTCCAAAAAGTTTAGGATACTCGCATCAAACATGTTTTTATGGGTATCTTCATTATAGATAAAATTTCATTTTGATGAATCCCACAGTGTTATACAGTAATATTAACTGATGACCACTTTGCAAGCACAACTTACTGCCACTCATAATCATATCAAGTCACCCACACAACTTTCTTGATTTATTATATGCATGAGTGAAATTGATTATAAGAAATTTGAATAAAAAATTAATATAGGATAATGTACATTTAGAAATAACATTATCAGTGTAATTGATCAGATGGGAAATAAGACGAGTGTTTTTTATAGTCAAAATAAGCAACTTGCTGGAATGTTATGATGTACGTGAAATGAAATAGAATTTTAAGATTGTTTATTATCCTCCTCTGATTTGACTGGTAGTATTAACATCTTCCATATTTCTGGTATTGGCGATGAGTCATTCCTATTGCACGTGTTGGGTGTAGACTCAATGAACCAGGATTCAGTAATCAATCTTTCCTTATCCAGCTACCTATATTACTTGGAATTTTAACCCTCTCCCAACCTGTTGTGTGATTGTGTATCAAAGAGGGGTATGCTCTGAAACCCTGTGTGTATGTGTGATCACACATCTAAATTGGTAGATACAGTGAGACTTGAGGAAATGTCAAGTCACATCCTGTTTATTCATTTTTTTCCGTACCAAAAGAAAGCCGAATGACGGAGGACAACAACGTCTTTTTTACTAAGATACAGAACAGCTGAAAGGCAGTGTTCGGCTGTCGACATGAATGACATTTCAGATAACGACTGAGGCGGCTTTTAAGCAATAATTATGAAATTTTCAAAAATATTTCTTTTGATTCCTAGCGAAACATAGGGCTTCAGCCAAGCGTCTCCATTGCGTTCGGTTCTCTGCTAGAGTCTTCACCTGGCTTCAAGTCTGTCCACACGTTTTCATCTCCTCTTCACATGACCTCCTCCAAGTCACCCTTGCACTGATGACCAACTCGCCACTTCCCCTTCGGGTTCCACTCGAGCAATGGCTTGTCTAGTGATGTCATTTGATGGTATCCTCAGAGTATGACAAATCCATCTCCATTTCTTCCTGCCTATTTGTTTCACAATCGGTTCCTGCTGTGTTGGTTCGCTCCCAGAGATCTCTGTTGCTGATCTTTTCTGTCCATCTGATTTTGAGTATTGAGCGAAGACAGCTGGCTTTAAGTGAAGGTATGTAATTTGTTTGAGGTGCTCTTTATGACGAGCCTAGTCTGTGGTCGTATATTAGCACTGACTGACTACACACTGGAGCTGGAAATCTGGACCTTATTTTTCACGCTGAGTGCTACTGACCTCTAAACAGACTTGAGAGTAATGAATGCTTGTCTTGCTTTCCCGATTCTTGCTTTGAAATCCTCGTCAGTTCCGTCTGCCTGTAGTTGAAACGATGCTTCCCAGTTAGGTAGGTGGAAGAGGTTGTTTCTTTCAGGTTCCTCCTATTTATGCTGATTGTTGTCTCTTATAATACAGCATAGAATTTTCATCATTTCTAGCAATTCGCCACATAAATAGCAGTTAACGAATCTGTCACAAACTATTAATCGCGTTTCGAAACAAAAGTTGTTTCCGACTGTATCTTTCCACGGTTATAATCAGACAGTAAAAAACCATTTTTCCCTTTTTTATTTTATTAAGTAATATAAATCCGCCGTTGTTTTGTTTTTCTTCACAAAAATCACCTTTCTGAATTTCCACTTCTGACGTCATAAAATACTTAAAATTTCATAATAGAATCTCAATAAACCACATAGGGTTTTTCCGCCTTCACACCTCATTTCCCACCCTCCAAGATCTTATCTCTTTTTGTCATTAAATCTTGTTTTTTTTTCTAAGAATAGACAGTTATTCGTCTGCTTGCGTCAGCAACACAAGAATGACGATCACTGAAAGAAAAAACTTTCAGTGTCAAGAAAAATGAGTCAGAGTTATTTTGTAAATCCCCAATTTTCGTTTTCTTTTTCTCCCCTCACTAAACACTGGACACTAATGCTGATGACACTTATTGATTTGGTGGTATAAATAAGTCGCAGTTTAAGAAATCAGGAATTTCGTTTTCTTTTTTCTAGTTTTTCCATTGGGAAAACTTAAGCGTAGAATGAAAAAAAACATTTGCATGAGAATGTAAACAAAAAATATATCTTTATATCATGAGATGTATTCATTTAGACGTGAATGTCTGCTTTTTGTTTAAAGTAAGTGATTGAATACCATTCAAATCAACAATTAGACAGGTGGATCAAAGTGATTTGAGCCGTAATCAGCTTTTCCGCCTGTTTGAAGTCAGGCTGATCAGCGTGCCTTTCAGATAGTCTGCAACAGTTCAAATCTATAAGCTGAGTCACACTCGGTGCATGGCTGGTGAGGTCGGCCTCACAAGAGTGAAACAGCTCTCCGGTGTTTTGAATAAGTTCAGTTTATGTTTGGCAGCAACCACTGGTAACAGATTTAATTCGTGGTCAAATGTTCATCTTAATAGATGTATAGTATATAGTTTTGTGTGACGATGCGTGAATTCTTTGGTGGCAACTCATGCTATAAAATAGATCGCATATTATAATTAGGGTATTTTGTATTTCTCAATAAATGAATAAAAACAAAACGATACTGTTGCTTTTACTGACGTGGCGCTATTTCACGCTGCTGCTAGTAGCTTTATCAGAGTGGTATTATTAAACCAGAATTTACAAAATCTCAGCTTATATCAAAACAACTTAATCATCGGCACTCAGCATGGCGTCACTTATGCTTTGTCAATTTGGCTATTTGGTAAAGATAACACAACCAGGTGAAGATTGTTGGATTTGAGAAGTGTGTAAAATTATGAAATCAGGGTGTGTTTACATAATAAAATCGCTTATCCTATTCGTGTTGATTATGTCACTTCATGGGGTAGGGGCGTGGTGTGTTGCAGCTAG